GTCTTTCCCTCTCCACCTCTCCTGGAGCTTGCTCTTTCTCTCTTTCACTTACTCCCGTTTTTTCTGATCTTTCCACGCGATCTTTCCGATGAGGAAAAAGTCGACCGCAGAGAAAGAGAGAGGGAGAAAGAGACGGAAAGGGAACACGAAGAAAAAAAAATGGGCGCAATAATTCCTCGTACGTGGGCGGGTTGACGCATATTGTTTCCAACCGAGGGGCTCGTGTTCGGCCGTTTGACGTCACGACGGGGATATATCGAGAAAATCGGGATATCCTGCCCGATCCAGAGAAAGTCATCGAACCTGTCGCATCGGTCTCCTGTTCCCTCGAAACTTGCGATCGCGATCCACGGTGTATCGAAGCACCGGCGCGTCAGAAGCTAGGCGAGGATTTTCACGTGAAAATTGGAGACACGAAGATTTATAGCCTATCAATCTCATTACCCCAGTGCACGCAATATTTCAAACTCCCCTCTAAAACCGTACATCCTCGACAGCAAAGCTTCCAATCACTCGAAACTCGAGAAATACTCGATAAAACACGCAAAACAAATCCATTGTACTCCTATTGCCCTTGTACTTTCCATTCCACCGGGTATTTTCCGACGACCCAGGCCCTTCAGTCTCGAAATCCCGAAAGCCCCGGCGAAGAAATCCGAAGCGAAGCGGATCGAAGTGGCAGACGGCAGAGCGCCGGCAGGGAGGGCAATCTTCGAGTAGGATCTGTCGAAGTTAAAATTTCCACCGAGCAGCCAGAGAGAAGAAGGACGGGCGGGTCGCGGAGCGCGCCGGTTAGAGAGATTGGCTCACGGGCGGCGGATTAATCCGGACGGTCCAGATTGATACGAAGACGGACGCCGTGCCGCCTCCTTGGTCTTCCGAGCCCGGGAGCCCGGTTCCGCTCTATTCCTCATCCTCCGGACGGGCCGAAGGAACGGGGGGCCCCGGACAAGGACGACGGATGAGTGTTACGAGAGTGCAAACAACAGTTTGATGGCGAGGCAAGGCCCCAACGCGCCGCCGCGTTATTTATTTTGGTACGTCTAGACGCCAGATTGTCTGTCCGTACGTCCGAATCGCGACGGAGGATTCGGAGGTGACGTCAGACAGGCGGCGCTGCATCGTCCGAGGCCCGTGTTGCCTCTTCGCTGGATCAAATCGCGTTCCCCGCCCCTCCCCGTACACGGTCCTCGAGCTTTCTGCCTCTGTTCCTTGCCCGCCGGTCGCCGGCCGCGTCTCCTTTCCTCCACGACGCCTCCTCTTCCAGTCCGTGTTTCTTTTATCTCCCACCCTATGTTTCTCTCGTGCTCCTTTTGTTTCGCTCTTGTTCTTTAATGTTTATTTAAACGCGTGCACGTGTCTGCGCAATACACGTTGCGTGTCCCGGAGGCCCCGCGATGGGAACGCGCGGGAACCTCGCGCGGAGACACGTCGTCCCGCAACCGAGGCCGGGATGCACGCGCGCGGACCGAGTGCCGGCGCGACGACCGAGCCTTGCGATCACTCGGGGGTGGAATAAAGTGGACCTCCCTCCGCCTCCGTATGGCCCTCGTTCGCCGGTTTGTTTATCGCGCGATGATTCCGCGCGACGTGACCATGAATTCGATTGTCGAGGGATCGCGCGACTTGATTGCGGACCTTGGGACTTGGTGCCCTTCACCCTTCTCGAATTTCATAGGACGCACGCAGTGGGAATTAACCCTTTGGAAGCTTGCGAGCTGAAGGTGCTCGACATTTTTTGGCGGGATGTCGATGTTCTTTGGAACTGAGTAATGAGGAGAGATAAATTAAGGAATGGAGATGTTTTACATATCGATGCATTGTATAGAAGTTAATGTTATATGTAAGGCTTTATATTTTTGCTATGTCAAATTAAGTGACTTGAAGCAACTCGGGTGTAAAGGGTTAATCATTCTAACGACGGTGAGATTTGTAGAGAATGAAATAGAATATTTCAATTTGTAAACTAGAGTTTGAGATGATTAATGTTAGGTACGAATAGATGAGGATTCAACGGGTTTCGAAATGATATATGGTTACAGTGGATATTGTTAACGGGAAGGATATTATTTCTATCGATTATTCATTGAAGGTGTATAGTTAGAAATTGGTGAACCCCTCGAAACGGATTGGAAACGCGCAGCCAGACTGGCCCGGCTAGAACTCGAGTGCTTCCGGTAAATTCAGCCGTGACACATTCCCGTCTACTCGCACGAGTGATTTATTTTCGACGGCAGACGTTCGCATGGCCAATGTCTGTCCACCGTTAGACGGCCAGGCCTCTGCAGACAGGTTCAGTGGAACCGAATCCTTTAACCCAATTTTCGGGCTGACCCGACGTCTTGGCTAACAATTTGCGTCAGGTCCGACCCGAAAATGCGGATTCACGATGTCCTATCGTGTCTACGTTCTAATTAATCACCGCGAAACGTTTTGTAACATCGAATCTTCGAGGGTGAACACGTACGGGGACAGTATAACCGAATCTCCGAAGACAGAAGAATTATCTTCTGAATAACTCCGATAACATAGAAGTAACGTCCGTCTCGTTCAATCCGCTAATAAATTCAATTCTATTTCCACCGAAGAGCCGTCTCACTTCCAAAATCGATTCGCATTTTCACTTTAATCTTCCCGGCGTCTTCAACGTCCAATGATTTCTCGTACGCGCGGGTCGCCAGCGATTCCGTCGCATCAAAAATAAATCGTCCAATCACGCGGAGAGGTCGCCGAAAAGAGGCTGGAACCGCTAAAAAAGAATCATCGTAAGCAGCAGAAAAAAAGACGAGAAAGAAAGGAAGAAAGGATGGAGAAGGCGTCTGCACGCGAGCTGCAAAATTTTCGCGACATTGGGATTTCCACACGCGCGCCGCGCCGATTTGATCTCGGTCGCGCATATTTTTCTCCCGCTGCGCTGCCCTCTCTCTCTCTCTCTCTCCCTCTCTCTCCCTTCTCACTATTTCCCTCTCTCTTTCTCCCTTTCTCTCTCTTTCCCTCTGTTTCTCTTTCTCT